TCCTGTTTGCGAGACTCACAGCACTCCACGGGAATCGACGCCGTCTGCAGCCACAGAATCTGGCCGTCCGGCTGAGGGATGGCGACCCTGAACACCACCCGCACCCTCGTGTTCTTCCGCCCGATGTCCGTCTCTCCTTTCTTCAGCTCGATGTCGGCGTTACGCAGCTTCAGGATGCCGGCGCAGTCGATGCTACGAGAAAAAAGGCGCCGTTTATCAGAACGCATCGTCTCAACTGCTAATACCTGTTAGAGCTCGCACAGTGTGCGCTGTGGTTCAGGTCCACATTCCTGCCAGCTGCAGAGAAGAATGTGCAAGGTATGAAGCTGAAGTGTGGGAGCGAGAAACTGGTGAAACAAGATCCACAGAGGAGCGACCCACCTGACTACAAACACCTCAGCTTATTAGAGTTAAATGAGCCTGACGTGCCTGAAAACCACAGCGTGGCTGAAAGTTGCTGACGTGAGAACAAAAGGCCTCAAGGATCTGTACAAACCATTTTGTGAACACAAGGTCCTTATTTACAGCTCTAACCCAACACCACCATATATGGCTACTACCACTACTAGTTACTGAATAATTGAGCTCACAGCAAAGCCATCCTGTGGCCATGACCACTTAAACTCACTCACGCTGCCTGCAAACACGCAGCAGACTGACGTTATCGCCTTATGTACATGCTTCCTTCTTTAAATGTTTGAGATTACGGTGACATTATTTACATGCTTCCTGCCTCCTCTACAGTGCGTCTAGACTCTGTACCACAGCTCTTTATTTTTTACTGCGCTTCCTGACCTTCGTTAAGCCTAAAGAGGCAGCGGCCGTGTATTTGTATGTTTTTAAAACCATGTTAAGTTCTTATCGATGTCATTTCCTGTCACAAACAGCTGCTTTTTGTAATTTCCCCTCCTCTAAAAGGAGGGCTCGAAACCTCGTAGGTGCCTCAGTCACGAAACACCTTCAGAACAAACGTCCTGAGTGTTTCCGTCTTTGTGTTCAAAGTAAAAATTCTCTCCAGTTTTGGGATCATTTCGATCATTTTTGGGGAAATTGTTACCGTGTGTTTTGTTGCTCAGATGAAGAAAAAACAGTAACATGAAAGGTTTTCTGGCAGCGAGGCTGGTGTGAAGATCGATATCATTGGGAACGTGATAAAGACTGAGCTACCCAGGGTGTGGGTAGCTGAGCATTAAGTATAATTAGCAGCTGTATGTAAATGGTTTGATATGCTGTGCAAAAGTATTGAGACTCCATAAT